CTTGGGGTGAAGGAAAATTCCCAAAAGGAGAAGAAAAAGAAAAAAGGGGCTTTCCATAAATGACAAAGAACAATAACGTAAAGGTTTTCAAAGTGATTTATATACATTATCTCACCTGATCCCGCTCTTCAATCCTATAATGAAGGTTTTGCCTCTATTTTGCAAAAGAGAAAACTGAGGCTCAGAGAAGTCATGTCTTGCTCAGAGTCACATAGCTAATATGTGTCAGAAGCAGAATTCAAGACCAGCTCTCTTCCGAATCCAAATGTAGCTTTTTCTACTATAAAAGGATGCCTCTAAACAAATGAACTGAATCTTCAGATCTGACAAGGGAAGTTAGTGGAAAGAGAGGAGTGGCAGAGATAGGGAGTAATTATGAGGTTTACAAAATAGTTCTGAGCTAGAGTGAAGAATAACTAGAGCCCCAAATTCTTCTCTGATCTCAGCCTTTAAGGCTGGCAGATGCTGAGAAGAAGAAAGAGTACAAGAAGTGGTCAACTGATAAGCACCCTATAACTCACAGTCTCTCCATGGAAAGAGGCCTTAGTAATTTCTATCAAAGCCTCCAAAAGCAACACCTGAGCAGTTGGTGCTAAAGGAAGAACTGAAAGTATTCTCACGAACTCTATTCCCCAATACAAGGGAAATCTTACCCTGAAAAGGGAAGAGGCAACCAGAAGTAAAAGAAGTTTGATCTAGAAAGTACCTAAATCCCCTTCTAGCCCCTCCTCCACCCCTTTCATCCTGCTATCTCACCTTTCTAGGGCCAGGTATTCAAGTAAAACTACTGGCTGAGGGCTTGGGGAAACAGGGCCAGTAATAAAGAGAGGAAAGAAAAGAAACAAGGAATGGAAAACACATAAGATTAAGGGAAAATAAGGACTGAGATAAACCATTCCAGGAGGATTCCAGTAGAGCCCTGAATTCATAATTATTGGATACCCCATCAGTTCTACCCTGGGTGGCAAATTAAGGATTACAGATGTTTTGAGGTTAAATCATCATCACAATGAATTTGTGGAACCTCTCCACTTCCCTCCCAAATAGCATCAGATGCTACCAACATCTCACAAAGTAAGAGTCACAAAGAGCACCAAACTAATGACAAAGCAGCACCCAGACTAAATGGAGTAGGGAGGGGCCCAACCCCAGGAAATTCCACCAGGGATCCAAGGCAAATTAAAGAAAGTGGGCAGCCAAGAGAAAAGCTGGTGGTGATTAAGCAGTGCTTGGGGGGCTAGGTAAGACGTGCATTTCTGGAAATAATCAACCCAATCCCAATATGGCTGATGCTTCTAGGGATGGAGTCCCAGGTTCATCTCTGAGGTTAAAGGTCAGGCAAAGAACTGAAGGGAAATAACTAGAAAGAAGTGGGGGAATAGGGAAACAGGAGCACAGAAGGTAGCTTGGAGTTAGAGTGGCAGAGAAGAAGTAGGGAAGCTCTATGGAGCTCAGTGCTCAGGCTTTCTTTGGGTCTCAGGTAGAGAAAGAAGGGGTAGTGAGCACAAACTTGGCCAGGGAAAAGACCTGTGATAAAGGAAAGAGACTTGAAGAAGCCAGATTAGAAAGAATCACGGGGCTGTGAATACTCACCATCCTACCGTGGTGAGAGTCCTGGCTGCTTGCTTCTCACTGTAAGGAGAGTAAAGTGGGAGGGAAGGTCAGGATCAGTGACAAGAGCTACTTTTCTCCTCATCATGCAGTCAGTGGATCACATGGCCCAGCCCTTCCCCAAAAACCATTTCCCCCACCCTGGAATCCAGCTTCCCCATGAGTCATTACAGCACTGGCTAAGGTAATGGAGCTCTAGAAGATAAAAAACAAAAGGCCAAGTTCCTCTATCCCTTAGTGCCTATTCTGCAGGGCATGGAACAGGCTTCACAAACTTAGAATAGAGATGCAACTTATCGGTGATTACCCAGCAAATCAATGATTCACAGCCCAGGGGTCCTACCTCTCAGCCTCCTGAAGATAAGCATAGGATTCCAATCCCTACTGCTTGATAAAGTTAGCCATCCCAAGACCTCAGGAACTGACAGCCTCCAAGGGGAGTGAGAATTCCCAACCCTGACTCACTCCTGGAATGCCTTGCTCCAACCTCTTTCTCTTGTAACCCCAGTGAAGTATGAACCCAAAAGTTCATGTGGAGTGTGTGGGGCTGACCTGTTCACTGTGAGCAAAGTCCAAGACAGACGACTAGAGGGAGATCAGGGCCTGGGACCAGAGAGCACCCAAACTGGGAAGGGGCTAACCAGAAATAACTGGCCTGGGTCAGAAACAGGAGGTACTGGGAGGAGGTCACCCACTCAGTCTCTGTAGGATGTAGGACCAGCCACAGGAGAGAATGAAGGCCCAAGAGCAGGCGAACTACCTTTGGCCGACAGTTTTCGGAATTAAGGCTCCCATTTTAGCCCCACTCTGAAGTATCAACAAGGCTGAAGGCAGCACTCGAGTCCCACCTGCCACCCAAACTCAGGAGGTCCTTGCTGCAGGAACCCCTCCCAACATGCCCCAGGAAAGCTTCTGGGAGAAGAGCCTCGAAGGGGGAGGCGCTCCCATTTCCTAGGGCCTGGTCCCCCTCAGCCACCCCGACCCTCCCTGGGTGCCCAGGGCCTTCCAAGGACCCAAAGCCGCCTCTAGGGAGGGGCAAGGCTGCGGCCCCTGAGTAAGAGAGAGAGCGCGGGCAGCCTGGCGGGCGAGGGCCGGGGCCAGGCCATGCAGCCGGGGACTCCCCCGCCCTCCTTGCCCTGGGAACCCGGCCAGTTCAGGGCTTCCCCAGCGGGACGGGTACCGGGTGGGACGGAAGCCCGGGAGCCTAGGTGCCCAGGTCCGGGGGCGGGGCCTGAAGCCTCAGGGGGCGGGGCCTAGAGTGACAGGGGGCGGGGCCCTAAAGCGGATGGTGGGGGCGGGGCGGGGACGTAGCGGTTCCCGGTCCGAACAGGCTATGCGCTGGACGCGGTGACTCACCCGGGCCGGGGCCGCGTCTGGCCGACCCTCCGAGGCTGCGTTCCCACCACTTCCGTCTCCCGCAGCTGCTGAGGCCGCGCAAACGGGACCCTGCCACGGGGCCCCTACTCTCCAGCCAATCATATCTCCGCCTGTGCCCGCCCTGGCCAATAGCCACGCTAAGTCCCTCCCCGCCCACACCGCGCAGCCGTCGCCCTCACTCTGTACACTGCTCATTGGCTCTGATGGGCAGACGCCTTCCCAAGCCTTCAGCCTATCTAGTGGTGACAGAAAAGAAGGTATCCAGAGAGAGGAGGCGCGGCGCCCAAGGAAGAGAAAGAACCAATGGGAAATCACAGCGCGTCCCTGCGGCAGCCAATGAGTAGACAGTAATGGAAGGACGGGCTTTCTGGGAACCGGAAATGAGGTTGGTCCGTCGCCTACCGGCTGCGCCATAAGAGGCGGGGTTTTAAGAGCCACCTCCAGGAGGTCTGGGCTTTCCTGGTATTTCCTCGCGCATCTTTTCTACGCTGTTGTATCTCATCTTTCCCGTCCCGGCTCCTCCTGTCGCCGTGGCGACTGAGATTAATGGGAGTGTGACACGGAAGAGAAGGAGCCCAGGAGTTCAACCCGGGAGAGGTCCCAGAGAGCAGCGTGGCCTATTCCCCTCCCTGGGGACCTAAGCTTTCCCTCTTACCCGGCCTCGTGTGCTGGTGCTCTCGGAGTCCTACTGCCCCTGGCTTCTGTCCCAGCCCTCCTCCCACGTCGTTCTTTTCTTTCCCCTCCCGCACTTTTCGCCCCTTCTAGCCCTCCCTCATCCTCTGATACCTTTCCTCCCCCACTGGCCTTCCCCTTCTCTCTCCCCTCCTCTTCCCTCTTTTTTCTCTTCTCTTTCCCCCCCCGCGCCCTTTTTCTCCCCTTCCCCTTTCTCCCTCATTCTCTCCTTTCCCCTCCTCTCCTCCCTTACCTCCTCAAGGTTCTCTCCTCCCTACTTGATTCCCCCAGCTAGGTGGCGCAGTGGCTAGAACATTGGGCCCGGAGACAGGAAGACCCAAGTTTTAATGCAGCCTCATAGACTTTCTAGCTGTGTGAGCCTGGGCAAGTCACTTAGCCTCTGTCTGATTTTCCTCAACTGTAAAATGTGGATAATAGCATCTGCCTTGAAGGGTTGTTTTAGAATCAAATGAGATGCTTGTTTAAAAAAAAAAACACGTAGCACCGAAGAGCCAGCTTCTGGAGAGCTGAGCTAGGCTGACCCTGGTAGCCTGGCCCTGGGCAGAGATACCCAATGTGAGAAATGGGAGATTCTGGCAGCAGCTCCCAAACCGTACTCCTGACCCAGGCAAGGAGTCCAGACCTACAAGCTTTATCCCAGCCTGATTTGGGCCCCCCTCCTGCTCAGAATTTTTTTTGGGGGGGAAGTAGGAGGGAGGTGGAGGAAGGAGAAGGAAGATTAGGCAATATAGTAAGCCAGGCTGTTGAGGTGTGTTCCTCTGCAGTGGAGCTTGGCACTGAGCCTTCACTTTAATTCATAGAGCTTTATTCGGCACAAAATACTGCCCAGGAAGCGGGACTTTCCCACCTAAATATGTGTTATTATAAAAAGTAATGTGCATTCCCTCCATGCCTCAATGTAGTGTGGGGATGACCTTGATTTCTTGAAGACCCACCTGGCAGCTTTTTAGGTATGACTTAAGAGGTTCATCTGTTTTCTGAACTTGGTCACTAGGTGATCAATTTTTTCAACCCTAGCAGTTTGGAAAAAGCACCCAAGCCAGAAAGTGGTTGCTCATGAATGTAAGGAAAACCCACACTGAAATCACAAAACTCTAATGTCACATGACTATTAAAAATCATTTGTACATTCCTGTTTTCTCAGATGACACCCTTGACTTCCTACCTCTGGTCCTATCCCTACTCCCATGCTTCTACCCACTGGAAAAAAAAAAGAGAGAGAGTAGGTCATCCAAATTCCTAGCCAACCTTCAGGCTGCAGCCTGAAAAGGCTAGGGATCTCAGCTAGGAAGGGGAGAGTACAGTTGTAGGAGCCAAGGTCAGATTCCGATTTGTTAGACTTTATTTCTTTTGAGTCTCTAGGGAGGCAGCAGGGACATAAGGCGAAGTGGCAGTAGCTTGAGGGGCCAGAGCAGATCAAGAGCTGGGAAGGGCCAGGAGAAAGAGGAGGAGACATACATCCAAGGCAAGGGAACTAACTAGTTCTTCTCCTTCTTCTGTCTCTGAATTTTATACAGCATCTCCTGCATCCTTCGCAACTGAAATAGACAAGCACATTGACCTGAGCCCCAACACTAGATATCAGGAGCTCCTCAAAGTTCTGCTTCCTCAGACCAGATCTTTCATGGCAAGTTTAGAGGCAATATTGTGCAACAGTTCTCAGAAGTCAGTCCCCAAGACCTTTTCAAGGGGTCTGTGAGGCTTCAAAACCATTTTGATAATATTAAGATGTTTTAATTTTCAAATATGGTAAATATTAATAGATATAATCCACAAAAACATATGCTATGGGGGGGCCACAATCATTTTAAGGGATCCTAAGACCAAAAATATTCATCTAGTCCAGCCTCTTCACAGAACTCTAATTAGCAAGTTCTCTCATTTTCATGGCAATCTCCACCCTCCCCACCCCATGCAAAAAGGACTCTGGCCAGAAGATTATTTGGGAAAGTCAATGCTAGGGGGCAGAAGGGGTACAACTTGGGGTTCAAGGAGGGAATCTGATAGTTTCCTATTTTAATTATTTTTGCTAGGCTCAGCTATTCTTGTGTTCTTGAAGGATTGCAAGTACTGTTAGGCCTTCTAAATGTAAGTATTCTGGGGTAAACCCTAGTTGCAGAGGCCTAATTATGGTTCTCAAACATGCAAAAAATTTAGAGATGGTACAAATCCCAAACCTTTCCACTATTCCCATGAAATTCAGCACTGGTTTGAGAGAGAATAGTATTGAAGTCCCCTGACCAGGCAGAGGACTTGGACTGCCTTGGACTAAAACTCAACCCCATCGTCCCATCCTGCTCTCACCTCCTCATCTTTCTCCCGGAGCATCTTCTCAGTCTCTATGTCAATCCCAGACAAGAATGCTGCTGGGATGGCGAAGTCAGAAATATTCTCTCGAGTCAGCTTGCTGAGAGGTCAGGGGAAATGGGTGCCAGTGAGGGCAAGGAGACCCCAGGCCCCTGCCTGGATTCGGCCCTAGGGCCTGAAGGAGCAGGTGTAGAGGGCCTGCTCCCATCCACACCTGCCAACAGCTCTGCTTGGGCTCCTGGGGTTGGCTCTTCCCGTCCCATCTGCCCTCCCCCCAGGACCCCTTCCTGGCCATACTTGCGATTTCTTTCCTTCACCACCATTCGAGTCATGCTCTGGATGCATTGTGCCCGATAGTTCTCATAATGTATTTCCCTTGTCACATCCTTAAGATCCTGCATATGAGTGCGTACCAGCATGGTCCTCAGCTTCACAAAGTCGCAGTGCCCCGGATTTTCCACTGCATAGCAAGGCTTAGAATCAGCTTAGGTTGAGGCTGGGGGCAGGGGGTGGGGTGGGGGGGGGAGGAGGCAGTTGTGGGCAAGAAAGTATTTTCCCTTCCCTGGCCCCACAAAACTCAAGAGTTTTACCTTCTACAATACCCCAGGGATAGAGCCGTCCCCGAACACGCCGTCCTTTGGCCTCCACCACAGTGTTGCTGCCAATGACAGCAAAAGGGATACTGTCCTGGAAGAAGGCAGGGTTCCCATCAGTGCCTACCAAACCTGCTCACCTCTGAGGCTTTAGCTGCCCTTCTGACCAAGGCACTTTAATCCCCAAGTATGCTGGTACACTCAGCCTTTAAGATGATCTTGAGTCCGTCCCAGTGGTGTGCTGGAGCCAGTTCTTACTGGCTGATGAGAGCCAGTTGTTAAAATTTTCAGTGTGAACATGTCCACGTTTTCAGTCATGTCCAACTCTTTGTGACCCCATTTGGGGTTTTCTTGGTAAAGGTACTGAAATGGTTTGCTATTTCCTTCTCCAGTTCATTTTACAGATGAGGAAACTGAGGCAAACACTGACTTGCCCAGTGTTACAGAGCTAGTAAGTGTCTGAAGCCAGATTTGAACTCAGGAATTTGAGTCTTCTTGACACCAGGCCTGGCACCCTATCCACTGCACCACCTAGCTGCACGTTTACAACCCAGAGATTGCTACAGATCAGGGCTTGATTTATTGTTTTGTTGATTTTCTAGACTTAAAGTAACAAAGTGTTAATAATGCAGATTAAATTTAAAAGTGTGGCTGTGTACATTGCTCCCCTCTCCCAAAGCTAATTTTTAAACATTTACCAGCATATCACTAATCCTTCCCCACCCCAACTGTTCACCCTGCCACAATCCTATGATTCAGCCCAGGAGAAATGGGATGGGCTAACAAGAGTAAAGGAAGAAAGGAAACTTCTCAGTGGGAGAGAGGTGCCTAGGCTAACTACACTCATCTCAAGGGTCTCCACCTTCAAGGCCTGGTCCTGTAATTTGAATTCCTCATCTTCATCGGAGTCACAGGCTGGGAATTGATAGATCTGGATTCCAAAGTGCTCAATTTCCTCTCGAATCTGAGCAAGAACACAAGTTGGGGGGATAGGAAGGTGGAATGGCATGGTTCCCAGAATCTGTACCTCCTCCTTATCTATCCCATTCACCAGTGCTCCACCACCTGCCTCACCTTTCGTTTCTTGTGCTCTACTTCATTGGGCGTCAGCGTGTCAGCCTTGGCCAGGATGGGCACAATGTTGACTCGATGATGCAGGGCCCTCATGAACTCCACATCTAAGGGTCGGAGCCTGGGGAGTGGGGAGGAGAGAGGTGGCTCCTGGACCAATAGCTGTGCTGTAGCTCTCTCCACTCCAACATCCCAGCCCTAGGGTACTCAGAAGAAACTCAGTGCCTCCAGACAGAAGAAACATACCCATGGCCAAAGGGAGAAATGAAGTAGAGGCAGCAGTGCACCCTGTTATCCTGAATGTTCTTACGGTTGAGGCCGCTTTCATCCCGGAAATACTGTTCAAACTGCTGGTCAATGTAATCTGCCACTGGCTTCCAACTGGGACAGAGTTGCACAGACAAAAACATGGAGACCTCATGAACACTCGGTTCATGCTTTCAACAAACATGTATTAAATGCCTACTGTGTACAGAGCATTGTGTTCCTACTCTCTGTGTCCCCTAAGGTTGATGGCAGCTGTACTGAGTGGTAGCCCAGGGACCTACCCTATGACTCAAAACAACAAGTACCATTTTTGTTCCCTTATATTCTGCTTGCAACTTATTTTATTGGTTTTCGTTAAGAAACAGGCAGTATGGTGTGGTAGACAGAGGGCCAGCCTCGGAGTCAAGAAGATTTGGTTTCAAGACCTACCACTTCCACATACTACCAGTACTGGGCAAGTACTTAGTCTCAAACTAGCCTAGATAAAGCTAAGGCTATAGGTTATAGATTAGTAGCTAATTTGCATTGGTAGAGGGAGTTTCCACACTGGAAACAGCCTATATCAATGAGATGACAGGTATGGAGAAAATAATTTCATAATCTTAGATAAAAAACTCAATCCAGGGCTGGGCATGTGGTAGGAATTTGGTATATATGGTTCTTGTTTGAAGAGGGTAGGCAAGGAAAAGAAAGTGGAGGAGAAAACTGGACTGTCATAGAAAGACACCAAAGAAGAGCCCCCAAGCCCAGGTAAGCCTTGAGCTATGTCCAGTTAGAAACCTTGGTGGCATGTTCATCCCCACCTTCATGCCTTTGCTCTCATTATTCTCTCAGCCCTCTGTCCTTCTTTTCTCCAATCCAGAACAACAGCTAATACCTAAATGACATTTTGAGATTGGGTTTACAGAGCATTTGACATATGTGATCTCACAGGATGTGTCCATTTTACAGATGAGGGAACAAATGAAGAGAGGTTAGGTGACCTGTGCAGGGTCACAGTGCTGAAGGTGGCCTTTGGGCACAGGTCTGCCCATACTCTGGATATGTCTCATCACTACGCTGTGCTACCTCTGCCCACCCTCCAAAGCCCAGTTCAAATCGAACCTCCTCCTAACCTAATCTAGTCTGAAGTGATTCCCCACTCTCCTCCACCCTTTAGATTTTCCTAGCACTCAGGACACAACCTACAATTTAGCACTTAATTATACGCAATTTTGTACTGTTTTCTAGCGGTCTCATTGGTGTGTTGTGGTCGTAGAATCTAGAGCTAGAAAGGACCTTAAATATTATCCAGTCCAATCCCATCATTTTACAAATGAAAAAAAAAAACTGAAGACCAGAGAGATCACATGCCTGAATCACAGGACTTCAGAGTTAGAAAGGACCTTAATGGACATCTAACCCAACTCATGCCCAAAATGAATCCCATCATGACACACCAGATAAGAGGTCATTCCAGCTGCTGCAGCCTCTGTTTGAAGAACTCCAATGAGGCTCCCCTCTACTTGCTAAAGCAAACCCTTTCACTTTGGGACAGCTCTATTTCTTAGGAAGTTTTTGCTGACATCAAGACTGCATTTTCGTCTCTGCTACTTCTACCCATTGTTCCTGGCTCTGACCCCTGGGGGAAAAGAGACCAAGTCTAATCCCTCTTCTACACGCAGCCCTTCATCAGCTAGCATGTCCCTCATGAGTCTTTTATGCTCTAGACTAAACATTGCCAGTACCTTTTATATATAACATGCACTCAAAGCCTTTCACCATCCTTGATGCCTTCTGGACACTCTCCAGCTTATTTACATGAGCCTCACATATTCCAGATGTGGTCTGGCCTTCCCTAGGTCACAGTAGCAGCAAGTGGCAGAGAGCAGGGATTCACTTCTAAGTCCTCTGACTCTCATTCTCCTGAGCTCACACACTTTTCCCTGTCTCCCCAAATAGACCATCACTCTTCATATCTCTGTACCACTCATGTACTAGCTTGGTCCTAGCACAGTGCACTAGGGTGTAATATATTCTCAGAAAATGCTTTCTGGGGCAGCTAGGTGGCGCAGTGGATAGAGCACTGGCCCTGAAGTCAGGAGGACCTGAGCTCAAATCCGGCCTCAGACCAAACACTTGACACTAGCTGTGTGACCCTGGGCAAGTCACTTAACCCCAATTGCCTAAAAAAAGCAAAAAAAGAAAATGCTTTCTGATTGATTGAGGGAAGAAAAGTGAGAGGACATAGGGATGCTGATGGATAGAGGGAGAAGGGGAGTGGCTTCAGGACACAGGCAGAAGTGACACAGTAATCTGTGCAGAACCAGAGCTTTGGAGAAAGCTCCAAAGCTTGGCTGCTTGTGATAAATTCATCGAACTCAAAAGGGCTATTATGTGGTTTAAATAATGTATGCAGTGCACTCTGTAAACTTTAAAGCACTATATGGATGTTAGCTATTATTGACAGTTCCCTGCACACTTGTTGGAAGACACTGCCCTAGAGCAGGAGGAGATAAGTATGGCTACATGGTTTAGTGAAAATAGTGCCAGATTTAGAACCTAGAAAGACTTGCATCTATATCCATTGTCTGACATTAGCAGTGTGACCACAGACAAGTCACTTAACTCCTTCATGCCTCGGGTTCCTCATCTGTAAAATGAGGACAATAATCCTTATAGAAACTACTTCATATGGTTATTGAAAGGATCAAATAGCATCATATATGTAAAGCACTTTGCAGTTCCTAAAACACTATATAAAAGTCATTTGATAATATATCACCAACATAATACGTACCCAACACTGGGCTATGGGGGAAATGCAATCCCTGACAAAACTTCCAGAGTAGGTGGGAAGACAAACTGCATAGAGGTGAAACTAATAATTAGCAATAATCAACCAGTCATTCAACAAATATTTCTGACACGTATTATGTAACCCAGGGCAAATCATTTAGTGCTCTGGGCAACTCTCCAAGGTACAGATTGCAACCTAAGTGCTGGCTTGTATCTGTAGAGAGAGTTTTCTTACTGGCAAGTTCCCTATGCTATTTGAAATTACATGTTCTCTTATCTATATGTCCCCCATTCCTATGTGTCAGGCATTGTCTGGGCACTGGGGATACAAATACCAAAAAATGGAACAATTCCTTTTCTCAGTTTGCTTAAAGACAGGACAGGTTGGGCAATAGGAGCTCAGAGTAGCAAAGATCATTTGGGGTTGGGGGGAAAAAGAAAGTATGTGTGTAAAATTTAAAGTCCGTGAGTGTGTGAAAAAATATATACATACATACATACATACATACATAGTATGTACATAATCATCCCTACACATTCCCTCACTTCCATAAAAGTGATTATTACACAAAGAAGTCATTGAAGTACCTGGAAAAACCAAGGATGGGCAAGGTACATATATGGCAAGGTCCTCACTCAAAAATCTTCCTATTCCCTTTGGAATCAAATGCAAACTTCCCAGCCTTGTATTTTAAATCCCTTTACACTCTACCTGAAGCCTATCACTCCAAATTTGTTTTATATTACTTCCTTTCACAAACTCTCTCCTGCCTCCATTCCCAGAATGCAATCCCTCTTTCCCAAGGGCCTCTTAGAATTGTCTTCTTTTAAGACAGCTTGGCACTGCCTCCTCCATGAACCTCCTTTGATTCTGAAGTTGTTAATATTCTTTTCCCTCCTCAAATTACTTTGTATTTATGTATCATTGTACATGGATTTTTTTGTTGTTATTGTTGTATCCTTCAGCAGAAGGTAAGGCCCTTAAGAGAAGGGATTTGTTGTTTATTTTTCTTTATTTCCTCAGTGGATCCATTGCCTGGTTCACAGTATCCTTTTCTTCTTCAACTCCTGATATCAATGCTCCCTCAAATACTCTGATTTACCTGTTGATAGCCTGCTCAATTACCATGATCTATTCCTCCATTCCACTTAAGTTATGTAGAGGTGGTCATACCTTGATCTTGCCATCCACTTCTCTGTTTAAGAATTTTGAAATTCCATTATTTGATCATCATCTTTTATCATCATATCTTTCCCTATGACTTTTGACCCCTAATCCTGTTCTTTGCCCTGACTATGACCTCTACTCCCTCTAGTTCTTTCCTAGCTGTCACTCCTGCACTGGCCTACTTCCCTACAGTTGGTGGCACAGGAGATAGAAAGCTGGACCTGGAGCTGGCAATATCTGAGTTCTGGCCAAGTCACTTAACCTCTGTTTTCTTCAATTTGTTCAACTGTAAAATGGGGATAATAATAGCACCTATCTCAAAGAGTGGCTTTGAGGATCAAATGAGATGATATTTGTTAAGAAAAAAAAAGTGCTTGACACATATTAGGCACTATAGAAAATGCTTATTCCTTTCCCCTTTGCCCTATCTCAACTCTTTGGTAAACCAAGTTAACTCTACACTATCCTCTACTCTTGAATCCACTTTATCCTGTTCGATTGTCATGCCAAGTCCCAGCCTTGGATATCTCCCACCACCACCCTCCTTCACTCCTATTCATGTGCTAAGGAACAGAGTTGGAGGAAATCATGAAACCATGCTGATAGGCCCACTTCAAATTTATGTGGCCTACATGACCAATGTGGAAGTATGTTTAACATGACTGTACATGTATAATCTATATCAGATTGCTTGCCCTCTTGGCAAGGGGGGAGGGGAAGGAGGGAGAAAAATTTGGAACTCAAAATCTTATTAAAAATGGAGGTTGAAAACTATCTTTACATGTAATTAGAAAAATAAAATACTATTTACAAAAAAAAATTATGTTTTCTAATCTTAATTGAACCTTCACCGCAGCAAGGCAAACCTTCTATTCCTCCCTAATTGTGTCACTATTCCACTATCCATAGAAATTCTTCCTAAACTTCCCAACTCTCCTCAAGACTGTCATAGCACAACTCTTCCCCTTCCTCCCAGGCTGAGGACCATGCCTCATATTTTACCCCCCAAAACTTGAGGCCATTCTTGGAGAGCTTTTCCTTCTCCCCTGCTCCTCATCTATCATTATTCAGACTCCTTCTAGTTCTGTCTCCTTCCTTCACTCTGAGCTTGGATAAAGAGGAGACCCTTTTCCTTACCAAAGCCAACTCCTCAACATGTACCCTTGATCCCATCTCCTCCCATCTTCTCCAGAAGATTACCACCACTCCCATCCCCATGCTCTCTCATCTTCAGTCTCTCATTCTGTTGGCTCCTTCCCTGTTACCTATAAACATACCCATATCTCCTCCAGTCTTGAAAAATCCTAATTTTATCCATCCTTGCTTACTATCATCTTAATATATCCCTGTGTTTGAGGTGTATGGGGTGTTCAGGAGGACTAGCGCTTCTGATGTGAGGACTTGCTGAACCCTTTTCAGGGCCACTTATCCATCTTTGGTGTCCACCTGATTGACCCAACTCTCACCTGTGGCCCCAAGAACTGTAAACTGTCTCAGCAGATAGCTAAACCAGGTTGAAGGTAACCAACAGGCCTCAAACCTGTTGGTGAGTTAGGAGAATGTCTACCACAACTATGTGAAAACTTTGCCTGGTGGAGTTGGTGGATGACAACAATTTGTTTCAATGGCCATGAAGGTGGCCGAGTGCTTAGAGCTTGGTCAGACATTGAAGACACCAAAGCCATCCACTGTATCCCAGGCCATCGCCAGTTGTCTTGATTTTCATCCTGCCACTGGTCTCCAGTGACTCAGAAAGAGAAAGTGAGGCTGAAGACTTTGTGCAACTCTGCCTCACTTAAATCACACATCAGCCCATGACGTTATTGGTCCTCTTCAAAAACAAAAGGTGAACAATATTTCTATCTTCACAACTCTTGTATGCACTTTTTTCTCTCTACTGACAAGCTGCCATCATGGTGCAGGCCTTATTACCTCTCACTTGCACTATTACAATCACCTTCTAACTGGTCTCCCTGCCTCCTACTCCCTCTCTAATCCACTCCATCCTCCAATCAGCTACCAATGTGGTTTTCCTGTTTGACAAACTTCAATGGCTCCCTATGTCAAGGATCAAATATAAAATCTTCTGTTTTTCATTTAAAGTTTTTCATAAACTAGTACCTTCCTAACTTTTCAGTCTTCTTACACTTCTTTACTCCCCTCCCCAGACCCTACAATCCAGCTAAACAGATCCGCTTGTAGTTCCTTTAAAATGGCATTCCATCATCTATCTCCAAGCCCTGGAACAAGTTCTCTCATATGCCTGGAGTCTCTCTTTGCCTCCACCTGTTAATTTCCCTAGTTTCTTTTCAAGACTAAGCTCAAATCTATGTACTTAGTTATTTACATGTTTGCTTCCTCCAGTAGAATATATGATCCTTGAAGGCAGGGACTGTTTCTGCCTTTCTTTGTATTCCCAGTATCCAGCTTAATACCTAAAGCCTAATGCTTAATACCTAAAGCCTAATGCTTAATACCTGCATGTTGACTGATTTCTATCCCCAGGACCTAGCACAGTGACATGTATGTAGTAGGCACATTATAAATGTTTATTGAATTTAAGTTAGTTGGAGCACAGCCTCATTTGCAGAATTTTGCTTGGAGTTTAAACAGATTAATACCCAGTCCTTTTTCTTAGCCACTTCTTTTTCTGACCATCCCTTCCTTCTCCCCCTTCCCCCTCCCCCCAGCCCCACACCACTCACAGTTATTGTTCAGTTGAGAGACAGTATGGCACAGTAGAGAGAAACAGACCTGGGGTTGGGGGGAGACCTGAATTCAACTTCTGGCTCTGACATTTATTAGCTGAGTGATCTTGGGCAAGTCACTTTAATTTATCTGAGCCTCTGAAAAAGGGAAATGAAATGGTTGCACTGCCTAATACCCAGGGATGCTTTGAGGATATAATTTTTGTGAATCTCGAAGCACCATAGCACAGAGTGAGCTGCATATGTGTCCCAACCAAGGGATGCACGGCTTGAGACACAAAACTTGAGACCTACCCTATAGTCACACCCATCTCCCTCTTCCTCCTGGATCCCATTCCCTCCCATCTTCCCTCCTCCCTACCACCTCACCCTTAGCAAGAAGATTGGGGGTGGGGAGATAAGATCGCTCAGTGAGAGCTGTACCACTCAGTGTTGTTCACAGCATCTCCAAAACCCGGTGTGTCCACGACCGTGAGCTTCAGCTTGACACCTTTCTCCTCGATGTCCATGGTATGTTTAGTGATCTCCACTGTTTGCATGATCCGTTCTGGAGAAGTGGAAAACTGAGGCCCAAGCAGGGGCGGGGAGATGTACCCCAAATCACATGGGCCTCCTCTGGACCAAAATCCAGGTGTCCAGCCTCACTGCCCAGACCTCCTCACCCTCCTCCATTCTCACCCTTATCTGGGTGCCTTTTCTATGGGAACCAGCAAGCTGCATGATTCCCAACACAGGAAATGCCGGTGGCTGTTGGCTCCAGCCCCAGCCTCTTCTCTGCTCCAGGATTCTCTCTGGATTCCCGGAATCCTTAGGGGGTCAGAGACCCATTTAAGAGCACATGACTCTGGCCCCTGCCCCCTCTCTACTACCCTGCTAAGAACTGCCAGACTGGGCAGGGGGCATCACAGGGAAGCCTCAACCCTCTCCAAGGATCTGGAGAAGTCAGGACATGGAGAGAAGACCTCCATCCATGGAAGTTCTGTAGGGGCACTAGTTTTCTGAGAGAAGTGGTAGGTCTGCCGGTCCCCCTCCCTTGCTGCATCCAGCCAAGCCACTCACTCCCCTTTGCTCACCTTCAGAATTCAATAATCTTCGGTCCCGGTACATGTCAGTGAGGAAGAGGCTGTTGATAAGGGTGGATTTGCCCAGCCCGGACTCTCCTGGTGGGGAGAGAGGGCAGAGGCATCAAATTAGGTATGGGAAACAATAAGGAGACTTCTTCCTTATGGTATGGTGGGGTAGGGATAGAATGGAAGAGAACTGGTAATAGCTCCTCTCCCTCTTATTCTAACCAAAAGGTTAAAGCTAAAAATGCTATCTTAGAAGTCATCTAATCCACCCCACTTATTTACAGAGGAAGAAGCTAAGGCACCCAAAAGAGCAAATGACTTGCCCACAGTTATCTAGGTATTTGGGTAGCAGAACCAGAACTAGAACCCAAGCATCCCACTTCCTGGTTTAGGGTTCTTTTCCCTGCACCATATTGTCTCCAATCCATGACTCTTCAACTACTTGTCTGGTTTCTCCCCTTCCTTCTCTCCCCCCTCCCTCCCAGCACCTTTTCTGCCAATAATTTAGAGCATATGTGGCCTTTGATGCTCTCTTAGTATCCCTCTCCCTCTTTCCCCGTGGAAGATTCCCCAGTCCCTACCATACCTGCCACCATGAGGGTGAAGTCAAAGCCCTTTTTCATAGACTTTCGATGAACCTGGTTGGGGAGAGTGGCAAATCCCACATACTCCTTATCATCCTGTCAGAGAAGTACAGCCTTGTTAAGGGAAGGGCATGGCAGGATTCCCTGGACCCAGATTTATCGTCCTCCCACTCACAACCCTGGAAAGCAGGTCCTCATGGTCCCACATTGGACCCAGAGACTCCAGGCCAGCCTGTCCTCCTGGCCCTGTTGACTCTTACTGAGTAGCCCAACTTTATTGTTCCCAGAGAACAATGAGCGACCTGTTGGGGACATCATAATAGAGTCTACCAACTAGGGATAGAAAATCCCCATTATCCCTTAAACTCTTCTATATACATCTACACACCATTCCCTCTCGTTTCTCTCTTAGCCCTTCTTAAAGGGGAATGGGAATACCCTACCTCACAGGAGTCATAAGGGTCCAGCCTGCCCCAAGGGCTTCGAGGCCTGCTTGAGATGCTGAGCACGCTTGAAGAAGAGATGCAGAGGTGAGCCTGAGTTTCTGGCTGGATCCGAGAGGAGCTCCTGGATTCCTTGGTCTCAGACTCTTCATAGGGATCCAGGATAGCAGGGAGGCATAGTTGGGAAGGGCCCATTGACTCAGGATGGGGGACATCACCCCCAGGGAACTCTTTTACAAACACAGCCAGCTCTGCTTCCTCCGTGTCCTCTAGGAATCGCTTAATCTGGTGGGGGAGGGGAAGGATGAGGGGAGGCAAGAAACAGTGAGAGATGGAAGAAAGTAGGTAGAGGAGAGGGAAATGAGGGGAAGAGATTTAGGAGAGAAGAGAATGAAAGAATAACAGGAGAGAAAAAAGAGCTCATTTTAAAAGGTAATGAAACATGTTAATAAAGCCAAAGAAAGTAGGAGTTCCTCACCATACTTACCTTTTCTCCAGCCTCAGCCCTGTTCAAGACTCCCCTCTCCTGGAAAAATACTCCCCCCACTTCTTATACACATATACCCTTTACATCTCACCATAGTATTGATGCCTGGCATTCTGAGGCACAGCAGAATCATGGGAACCTATTCATATGAATTTACTCTTCCCTGCCTTCCCCCACCACACATCAGAATACCAAGCAGAACTAATTCTTTAGGGGGTTGAGAAGCTGGACATAGCTGAACCCAAGTGCCATCCTAAAGGCCTGTGTCAGACCCAATGAGGGAATTAGCAGGACAGATGTGATAACTAGGAGTAGCCAGTCAGTAGAGAAAAGATGACCATAGGGGCCAAAGGAGTGACTAGGACTAAGTTGCCTAGGGGCCAGGAAACAGAGTTGGTTTTGAAGAGGGTCTTCCTGGTGAGATCAGAGAGATAGTGGGGAACCTGTCCCTCCTCTCCAAGCTGGGTCAGTTAAGTTCCCCTGCTCCTGAGCTGCTGGCTTCAGGAAAGAGCTGGGCTAGGAGCACAGAATTTTTCTTGGGAATGAAAGTTTAAACCAACCATATGAAACCTCCAGGAATTTCAGTCTTCATTCCCAGGTCTCAGACACATTAATTCCAGGAGACACAGAGAAGCCCAGAGCAGGAGTAATTCAATTCAACATGCAAGAAGTAAATTCTGCCTTGGGCTACAAAGGTGGAGAGGGGCTACAATGAGAAGGGGAAGACATAAGAAAGTTGAGGAAAAGAAGAGAGAGCAATGGCAAGCTTCACTCCCAGTGGGAGAATAAACTTGGTGGAGGCCAAGGAAGCAATCTTGCCTTTATAGTTGTGCTGCTAATATAGCCTTGGTGCCAATTTAGGATGGACATCACTGAGTGTGGCTAACCAGCCAATCTTTCCACTGTACTCTTAACCAAGCTCTAGCTAGTACCAGGTGGGAAGCTCTGGACTAGAGAGCATTCTCCTCTGGATGGCACTGCCACAGTGAGGCATCTCCTTTGTAGTCAGACATTCAGGGAATGCATCCCTCTGGGGAAGGCAGAGAGTTAAGCAAAGCTGGAGGCTCATATGCATAGTCCTGCCCTCTAAGCCCCAACCCACATCCCCAGCCACCACCCTTCCCCCTTTCCCCACCACCACTGCCCTTCTCCTTTGGTGGGCAGTACCCTCTGCCAGGAGCCTGGTGGTGCTGGGTACAACCCTGCCCTACGATATCCACGTGCCATCCTCGGACAAAGGACAAAGGCCTCTGCGCCCATGTCTTCATGGAAACTAACATTCTCAGAGGACCTGGGCAAAGCAGGTGGGAGGTGGCTCTGGGGAGCCCCTAATGATTAGAGTCTAGAGCCATGGGCCTGGAGCCCAAGAGCTGGCATCCAAGAACCCTCCTTCTCCCTGTCCCCCTTGCACAGACAAGAGAACTGAAGGAGAAAGAACTTGTAAGCCAATTCCCAAACCCTACTGCTTCTCAGTTCTATGCAAGAGGCAAACACAGAAGACAAGGCCTTCCCAAGGCTCTCCAGGCTTAAACCCCTACAACCTGCCTGTTGCTATGACTACCAACGACCTTGGGGAAGGGAGGATGGGAAAACAGACTGAACTGCATCCCTAAGGCCATTTCTAGCTGAATCCCAGAATGTGGGAATTTATTGATAGAAAGAGGCTGGCTTGGGGGGTAGGACTTGACCTAAAAAGGCTCTTTCCATCCCTGATGCTTCTGATGCCCCTGAGGGAGGAAGGGAGGGGGGAGGGTGAACAGCAGGGTCAGTCTGGCTGGCAGCCCAAAATCCTGGGGAATTCCTATGAGGACCTCATCCTGTCCTCCCTCACAACTACACTGTGACTGAGCAGTGAGCTCTGGTGAAGGGGTTGGGGAGGAGACTGCAGGGGGTGTATATGGAAGAGAAGTGGCAAGGCTGCCAGGTCTGACTTCTACCTGGGCTGCTAGCTTCAAAGCAGACTCTCTTCCTAAAGGAACAGATGGGGAAGAAAGACAACAAGCATTTATTAAGTACCTGCTACGTGCCAGACACTGTGCTTAACACTTTACAAATCTCTCCTTTGAGACTCACAATAACCCTGTGAAGTAGGTGCTATTGTCCCTATTTCACATATGAGGAAACTGAGGCAGACAAAGGTGGAGTGACTTCCCTTGATCATATAGCTGCTGAAGTGTCTAAGGGTAGGCTGAAAATCAGGTCTTCTTCCTGGCTCCAGTGTTCTATCCACTGTGCCACCAGCTGCCTCTAGAAAGGGGGATGCCAAGGAGAAAGGGGGATGCCAAGGAAAATGACCAGCTCTGAAGACCCTTAGCAAGGCTGAGGAAGAACCAAGCCCAGAACCTAAGAGGCCAGCTTTCTGGACTGTTCTCTTGTCCCTACCTCCTGGGCATCACAGCCTAGCCTGGCTTCCAGTATAATGGTGGGTTTGGTAGTGATGAAGAGGTAGGAAAGGCAGGGGACAACAATATGATAGTTTTCTGCATTGGAAAGAATGATAGACTGGGAATTCCCCCCTAGATTAAGCCTCTGAGCTATCTTGCCTGAGTCCGCAGCCAAATCATTTTCCAACCCTCCCTCGGTCTTCTCATCTGAAGATTATGAGGAACAACTGCCACTTATTTAGGGCTTTGAAGCACTTTATCTCATCTAAGCTTCCAAACACTTAGGTGTGACTTAGGTACTACAGGTATTTATTCGTCCATCTGAAAAATCAAGGGCTTGGTCCACATGGCCTCAGAAGTCTTGGCCAACTCTAGATCTAGGATCCTCTGATCCCCATTTTACAGATGAGGAAACTGAGGCTTAGAAATAAAATTACTTGCCAATAGTCCCATACCTTATAAATGTTGAAGGCAGGATTTGAACCCAAGCCCTAAGTCCAGAGTGCTTTCTGCCATAAAAATGAATGGGGAGGACTATTTGATGAAGTCTGTTTTCTAGTTCTTCCACATTCACAACCTCTAAGCACCTTGCCAAAGCTCTGAACCTATCCTCAGCAGCAGAGTTCCCATCTGATCCCAGCAGAGGTGATCATTCTCCCATGCTTCAAAGCTCCCTGTCAGCAAGTGCTGAATCTAATTTTATCTTCCAGGCAAGCAAAGTTCCTCACAAATATACCCAGCTGTGTCCCAATGCTCTTATTTGCAATCTGACTGCCCCTGTCCCTTCCTTTCCCTTTCTTTTTGATCCTATGCCTCTGGCAGGGACCAGCAAAGCCTGTGGAATGTCTTTCTCCCTACCCTTCCCTTTTCCCTTTAGTCCCTTAGGCCCCTGCCCCACCCTTCCCCACCCGACTCTGCACCCCACCCTCCAAGAACTGCTGCAGCAGTATCACTTGGCTCCCCTGCAGTCTCCTTCTCTGATTGGCCACCCCATGATGCTCTGCCTCCTGTTTATGCCTGGTGGGCACAGCACAAGCTTCTTAAGTCCTGCCAGCAGCACTAGTTTCTGTCTCAGATCAGTCTCGAGCATTACCCATCCCAGGGCACTGTCCAGACAAAGCCTGCCACAGCAGGAAGTGATAAAATCTCCTAGCCCACACTCTATTCCCTAGCCCTGCTCCCTGGATAGAGTTTAGCCCACAAGAAACTTAGCCCAAACCCACTCCTAAATTCCCTCCCTCCTTTTTTGTTCCTGTTCCAATGTTCCCCTAATTTCAGTTGCATATTATACAGCAACCAAAGAGGTAGAGGTAGGCCGCCCCCAATCCCTAACCATAGGCTGAGAAGCCGTGGCAACAACGGGTTCTCTTCCCTAGTGACCCCTTGTGTCCTCTAGGCAGACATGTCTCCTATAGCCCTTCTCTTCCCAAAGACTGGTTTTCTTTAGAGCAGGAATTCTTAACCTGGGGTCCATGAATTTTTTTTTATTGTTTAGTATTTTGATAACTATATTTCAACATGATTAATTTCCTTTGTGTCCTACATAGTTTATCTTAGGTATTTAAAAAACATTATTTTGATAAGGGATCCATAGGTTCCACCAGACTGCCAAAGCAGTCCAAAGATTCCATAGCACCCCTGCTTAGAGAATCCACTCTGGGATCTCCCAGTCCCTGGGGTACACTGGCTTAGAGCATGATGCCAGGACTATCCTCTTCTGCATGGACAGCTGGGTGCAGGAAGAGGAGAGGTAAGAAGAGGAGAAATTTGCCTTGGCTAGCTGCTAGATCCTTTTCCTCTGGGAAGTCCTTAAGACTGGAGAAACCAAAGCATAAGGTCAGTGTAGAACTCCCAACTACTCCCAGAACTATAAATCAGGTGGGAAATGGAGAGAAAAGCCTGGAAGACCTGGATTTCCAGTACTACATTTAACTGCCCCATGTGAGTTTTTATGCAGGTCTCAATTGTCAGGGCCTGATTTTTTTCCTAGATGTGAAATGGGCTTCTTCTTCCTTCAGAGGGAATCTAGGGAGACAAAGCCAGATACCTCTGGCAGCTTGAATCTGGAGGAGGAAAGGTGTCACCCCAAGCCAAGGGTAGTTGTTAATGCCCTTGCCTTTCCTTCTTTTCACTGACAAAGCCTTGGGGAATCTTCCCCACTGATTCCTAAATTCCCATTTCACAAGCAAGAAGAAAGATACTCTGCCTGAGGTAAAGCAGTGAATCAAGGTGATAGATAAACCCTCCAACTGTGAAGATAAAGTGCTGCCCAGAAATCTGTAGGCCAAATCTTGAGGGGCTAAACAGGCTTCAGGAGAGCTCTCTCTCCACATCCCCACCTCTACCCCAATCTCTCATTGGCTGGGGACTAAATTGGGTTGGGAGGGCCAGGACCTGAAATGAACTGAACCCAG